TATATATATATATATATATAGATCATTTACTTCCAACAAAAAATAAAATTCAACGTAGATATTATAAGGACTGTGAATTAAAGCTAGTTATTCGACACTAGAATTAATATATAATACTCTTTAATAATGGACAACAAACATATTGATCTTCATTCTCAATATTATACTATATAAAATTCAATAACGGCAAAAAGCAATCTTTATTAATACGATTAATCAGGATGTACTATTTCAAATTGTTCCTGCAAATTAACGAACAATTATAAAAATAATCAACATATTTCTTTTCAGGTATACAATGAAGTCCAACAAAAATATAAGTAATAGCGGACTGTGGGGCGAGTTGCCAACAAGGGAGATGATTAAGCAGGAAGTGATAACACCAGATCTAATAGAAAACGTTTGGCGACAGGTCATGGATGATTCAAACAGTACAGACTGTGATTACCGGATTGATCGACAACCTGAATACTTACAGTAAGTATAATTTATTATGTGGAATGATGAGTTAATTTATTACTAAACATTCATTAATATTTGTTATAGATTACCAATGGGAAATCTACATGTATTAAACACTATAAATCTTCATCAACAATTACGTACAATGGTAAGATTTAAACAGATCTCTCAGTACAAAGCTTTTGCTAATGGTATACTACTAGTAAATATACTGATATGATAATCTCTTTTGTTTTTAAGGAAGAGGGAACTATGCTTGGGAATATGACTGTTGTAGAGTCATCAGATTCAAAAGATTCAAAAGATATAACATGTTCTAGAAGTCTATTTCATTTTCTGCCTTATCAATCAAAAAAGTATTTTCTTGCATTAGCTTAAATTATTGTACAACAACGCAGATAATCACATTAATTATTGTAATTGTATCGTTTCAGGAATACGTTTGAAGATAATTCTACTATAAATTACTTAACACCAAAAATTGCACGAAATTTGTTAAGGCACACTGTGATCACTTTGTTAGCGCACATAGGATATGAAAATTCGTCAGATGTAGCCATAGAAACGCTTACCGACGCCGCGGATCACTTTTTAAGGCGGATGACTCTTCTATTGAAAGCAGCGACTGAACAGAAAGATCATGGATTTCCTGTAAGAAGAGAGAAAGCTGCGCGATTATTGTTATAATTAGAGATTCTATAATAATCTGTCCATAAACAATTTTGTCAAAACAACAGAGAGAAACTTGTGTGAAAGATATGTTATTACTATTTCAGTTTAACTTAACTATTTAAACCTAATTAAGATTATAAATTGAGACACAGTATAAGTTAAAGTGAAATAGTATGTATACAGAGAGAAAATATATCTTTTTCTCTCAGGATTTTGGTAAAATTATTCTTGACTAGGCATTATTATATACAATCTTTAGTTACAATGACTGCATTCAGTAGAAAAACTTTGCAACTGTTGTAAGATTCTTTAATATGATTGGTTATACATTTAGATCCAGCAAGGAAATAAAGGCAAAAACCAATCCTATTAAACAACGTTAATTAATGAAAAATATCTTAAAGGTATAATAATAAATAGCTATCTTAATGTAGTAAAATCTTGTTTTGCTCGTTTATTCATATTACATTTAATTTGTATTATCTATTTTATATTAAAGAATCTTATAACAGTTGCAAAACTATTTTTTCTGCTGAACGCAACTAATGTATAGTTATTTATATGTTAGATTTTGGTATTTATCAGGATGCCGTGGAAAGAGTAATGCTGGAGACAGGCGTGGGAAATGTATCGGCGTTGCATGACTACTACCAGGAATATATCTTGAAGTTCGAGGAGAACACGAAGAGGAAAGTCGAGGAAATGATGGAGAGACAGAGGCAACTTGAACTTAATGCTTGTAGTACTATTGGACTGCATTGAGCCACTGACATAATTTTCTCAGGACCTACGCTGCATTTTGTGTAAATATTCGTCATCAATTTTTTTTCAGACTGGATGAGGCAGCTAACAAGCTGCAATTCGAAGAGCTCGACGAATTCAGCAATGTGTACCGTGAAGTCCCAACGTTGCAGCTGCTCGATCCCGACATGGGATTTCCACCCAGTCTGGACGCTGGCTTTCAAATGCTCTATAGTCTCGAGCAGGACGAATAGACTTTCTTTCTCGAGTTAAAATAATCTTGCTGCTATCGGCCTTCCAGATTGAATAACATAGAAGAGGAAAAAGTGAATGTGAGCGATTCCCCGATTGTGAGACAATGATTAGACGATATTTATACATAAAACAAGATGTTAATTTGTACAAGATTTGTGATTTTCATTCGCCATCTTGCAACACCTGTTTCGTCTCGTGACGCAACGCGACGAGATCTAAATAAAGAATTTTCTTTCGAACTTTACATTGGAATTTTTTTATAATTATATCCCATGTAATTAGTGAGAACACGAACCAGAGTGGGATCGATAGGACAGGTCGCTTATAATACAAGCGCTCGCGATTGATAAGATAGAACACGCTTTGTCCGGCGCGACGTCACAGATACTCCGCGTCCTCGCGGATCGTAAAACTACCTGGTTCGCGTCTTCGTTATCCGCGATATAGTGCGATTCCCTCATACGTTTCTTGTTGCGCTCGTTACGTGTTCCCGCTCCCGAATGCATCGTCACTGAAGTGAACCCCTCAGCGCCCGCGGCCTGGAGCGTAGCGTACCAGCTTTCGCCACGCGTCCCAGAATTACATCGTGACGCACGCTGACGACACGTCAAAAATGGCAGATTCTGCGCCCAGCAAGGCCGACATCGAGGAGATATTCAAGAGGCTGCGAGCTATCCCGACTAACAAGGTTTGTTGAACGCGAATATCGCGATCTGCAGATCGACGGCGAATAAAGCGGGACGGGGTTCAAGTCCATCAGATCCACCGATCCGACAACGGGATCGCGGACGTCACACTGTCAGACTGCGGTTCCTCAGCGAAATCTAGCTTCCAGTTGTGTTGTTTTGTACCACAACTTAGGATTTTACGACTTCTCATATTTTTGATGCTTAATACTCTTCAACGGTTCATTTTCTCGGTTTTCCTAACCAACGATGCTGAAATGAAACTTTTGCAAATTTTTATTTACTTATTCATTGATCCTGATAATCTTTTAGTCTACAACACAAAACCTTTGAAACACTTTCGGCACTATAGATAGATTAGCAAAAGGATATTTGTATATCTATTTTCTTTCATCTAAATTTCTTTCTTATAAATTACATAATAATTATATTATATAAACTCTTTGAACTAAAAGGATCTCTCTTAATCTAAATCTCTCATATACCGATTTGTTTTTACCTTTTCTAACAATTTCTCTTTGTAAGATTTCTCTTTGTAAAAAGGATCATTATTTATTTAATTAATATTAAGATATGCTGTGATATTGCTTATTATTTTAATCTTTATCCTTTACAAGTCCTTTAGTATAAATTTTTCAATTTTTGTTTCATTATTTAGTAAATGTCTTGATTCAACACATTATTTGTCAAGTATATTATTGTCCAAATAATACCATTTCCTGTTATTTCTGTCCTTTAAAATAGTATGTTTAAAATAATATGTCACATTTTGTGCAACATCATAATTATAAGAAATTACATTCACATCTTTTTCTCTTTCTCTTTCAGACATGTTTCGATTGCAATGCAAAGAATCCAGCATGGGCCAGTGTAACATACGGCGTATTCTTGTGCATCGATTGTTCGGCGGTGCATCGTGGTCTGGGAGTTCATCTCACCTTTGTCAGATCCACCCAACTTGACACAAACTGGACATGGCTGCAGCTGAGGAATATGCAGCTGGGTGGTAATGCTAATGCTGTTAGTTTCGATATCTTGTAACATTTAATAATTTCACTTTTGTTGAAAAAAATTTAATTGATAATCAAATCGGTATACAAGTTTACATCTTGTGTTACTGTTACCTTAGAGAAAATTTTTTGCGCAACAAAACTGCACCACGAACGATGCCCAGCAGAAGTATAAATCGCGCGCAGCTATGCTGTATAGGGAGAAATTGGGCCAGGCATCTGCCCAAGCGATGCGTCGTTACAATACGAAGGTATTTATGTAGGATCATTGAATGAATATTTATGATATTTGGTAGGCATTATTAGATCCGTCTTAATTATAAATTATATAATAATTATAGGTCTCCCTTCCCACATCAAAAAATAAAACAATGGTGAGCTGAGTAAATGTTTTGAGAAATCAGTTCCTTTTTTTCGCAATTCTATTAATATTCACTTATGACATCTTAACAAAGCTTTTTACTCCTAAACTTAAATATGTCCTTATCATTGCAATCAATATCGACGCACACTTCTCCATGTGTGATAATCTACAATTGTACAAATATGTATGTTTGATTGTTTACAAAAATGTTATCCATCATTTATGATTACAATATAAAATTCGCTATCAAGATTCTGTTTATCATTCATATATATTTTCAAGATATGTGTTTTAATATGATGCATTTTAATATATATATGATAATATTTATTTATTCTCTTTGGCTGTTATATTTAATAATCTGTACCGAGTGTTTGCAAAATATCTGGACAAACTTTACCGGTGTATGTTTTATTGATTATTCAAAAAAATATTAAACATAAGTTCGCAAATGTATTCTTTCTCAAATTATCAACATTGAAAGTCATAAATTAGCAGAAAGATTTTATCGTAAATTATTAAATATTAATTTTGGATATCAATATAATACAACAATAAGCATGTGATAATGTTATGCAAATATGCATTAACATATATAAAGGTAAAGTTTGGTCAAACATTTTAAAAACATCCATATTTTAATCTAATTATTCTTTTTTGCAGTTGCATTTAGAGGACGGCACAGAAATTGTGTCAGAAGAAACAAACGAGCCAGATTTTTTCAAACAACACGAGAATTTAGATTTACTTCAGAACGAAATGATAATTCCAACAGAAGAAAAGGCATTCCTTACATCTAATATAATGTCAAGCAATGACAGTACAGAAAAAAGTACATCGGAAGTCGCCTCTAATTCCCTGGGACCTTCTGTAAAACTTTTTGATTCTACCTCAAACAATCTGCAGTCTGAAAGAAAACCTACTATAGGCGGCAGAACAGGTCAATCTAAACGTCCTGGAGTAAGTTTGTTTCATGATTAACGTAACAGTTGCAACACGAAATTGTATTACAATTATTATTTCTTTAATTACAGTTAGGGAAGAAAACTGGGAGTTTAGGTGCTCAGAGGGTTAAAACTAATTTTGATGAACTGGAGAAAAGCGTTGCAGAAGCACATAAATTAACGCAAGAAAAGAATAAAGAAGTGACAAAGGAAGAACAAGAGGAACTCGCTACTCGTCTAGCTCAGCGGTACGAACACAATTTGACTCAACAGGCCAAGAAAGTAGAAGAGAGAGCGAAGCATCTGGATCCGTCAAAAGCTTCACAAGCGGAACGTCTTGGAATGGGATTTAATGCACGAAGGTAATAAAAATACAGGCTCTATCTTATTCTCACACATTTCAAGAGACACATGTAAAAATTTGTTTAAAGAGTTTATGTATAAGTTATCTTTTCTTTTCCTTTTTTTTTTGTAGTGGTGCGACTCACTCCGCCCTTGGCGACATGAAGACAATAACGCAGGAGTCGAAAGGAGTCGTGACATCAATGGAGGTGCTCTCTGGAGAAACAGAATCTTTTTTTACTTTAGATGAATTTTATTCGGTTTACGCTAACAGCAAGCCGTCTTCGCGCAGCGACGAAATTGTGGTCGTGGCAGAACCGGAACCGCCTAAACGATTAGGCCCTTCCACTCGAAGCACAATTACTAAGACCGATACAAAAATCTCATCTATCATGGAAGGCGGCGAAGCTCAGAAGAAATTTGGTAGCGCTAAGGCTATCAGTTCGGAGCAATATTTTCAAGACAGTACTTCCGATAATGCGGTATGAACAAATTAAAAATGTAACTTTTCTAAAAAAATGTCTCGGATTAAAATTACGTTTTTTATTAGCATAAAGAACGTAGAAGAATTAGCATAAAGAACTTCTTTTTCTATACTTATTTTTGGATATCTGAATTTTCAGTGGGAACGTAAAAATAATTTACGTCGATTCGAGGGCTCATCCAGCATCTCATCGGCCGATTATTTTGGCATCGAAAACTCACCAACCTCACCTACATCCTCGTTATCCATGCGTCTGACTGCGGGAAGAGCCGGAGTCGTAGATCTCGATGATGTCCGAGAGAGCGTGCGTCAAGGTGTAAACAAGGTTGCTGGGAGACTCAGTTCGCTCGCGAACGCGGCAGTTTCTTCTATACAGGATCGTTATGGACTCTAAATGGAATCTATCGCATTTTATGAGAACTGTTACACTACTTATTCGGACTCAGTTTTGTCCATTGTTCAGAGTTGTAAATAAAAGCTTCTAATTGAGCTTCCGCATAACTTATTCTTCGGATGTGTTGCGCACGAATATATATACATATATATATATTCGTACTTTTTATTAATGATGAATCGATGAAAGAGTGCAATGTAAAAGTAACACAGATTCGAGAATGAAAATATAAATATAATGTATTTTATAAACACGTCTGCTTCATCTCTTTACAATAGAGCCAGTATTGCACAACAAATATCTATATCAAAAGTTGTATCAATACGAGATTAAAAGTAAAATGGCCATAATAATTTAGATAAAACATGATACAATGTCGCTATACAATTCAAAACAATTATGAATCTATATACTCGGCGGTGGATTTTGGCAATGCAAAATTAATCGCGAACACGGCTTGCCGTGGAGAAAGCACACGAGTATCACTGTCATATTGTCGCAGCCGGTGCCCATAAGAGCGTCCGGCGCCAGGCAACAGTTTAAAAGTTCCTCGCAAATCTCCTCGGGATGTATCGTACAGTTCGACGCTTCTCCATCGCCAAGTTTTAGATGTGCTAAACGCCTTCTTATGAACTCAACTACCTCTTCGCTAGTCATCACGTCCCAAATACCATCGCACGCCAAAACAACAAATTCCCAGTCCTCGTCAATGATAAACTGTTGTACTTCGGGAAACGCTACGGATTTATAATTCTTTTTGATGCAAAAGTTTAATCGAAAGAAATCACATTTGGTATTTCATTATTACCAGTCACGATCTGTTCCTGTGGCGATTTACGGTCGTTCTGCTTAAATATAAAATCTCCGAGGGCACGAGACAGCGCCAGATTGCCATTCACTCTCTTGTACTCGACGAAACCACCCGCTGCTTCGATACGTTTGCGCTCGTCCTTTAACGTAGGCTTATGATCTCGACTGAGGGCGACTGTCCTTCCATTGATACAAGCCACCGCTCTGCTGTCACCTGCATTAGCCTACAAAGCTTTTCTAGTGGTCAGGGATTCAAATATCAAGATGCATTACTCTACAGCCGAAATGAGATAAACAACTTACACTGTATAAAATATTATCTTTGATGAGGAGCGCAATAACAGTTGTTCCAGCATGTTCATCTCTAAGAGCAGCATTATTCTGCATTGCTTTGTCTAATTCTAAGAAGCCTTGTTGCATCGCACCTATGATATCGCCTTCCTTATACTCACTCCTTTTAAGTATGTATTCGTGAAGATGTTTTCCAGCATGCTGCGCCATGGCTGCACCTATAAATATACAGTTGTTATGTAGTAAGTATTATATATTATATACATATGTATTTTTTACTATATTATTATCTATGTATTGTCTATCTATGTATTGTTATCTATCAAATATCTCTAACATTCATCTTATCCTACAAAAATATATACTCGATATACAGTTATTTGAAAATTTACTTATGCTATTGTTTAATAAGTCTACATTCAGTATTTACCTCCATGTCCATCATAGACAGCGAAGAACGCAGTGCGTGGGTCACTGGGTAAAGAAAGTATGTGCACGTGTGAATCTTCCATCTTAATGCGCCATCCTTGCATGCAGGAACTGCCTACCCGGTAGTTACTATCCCGGCAACAAGCCGACTTCTTCTTCGTAATTGGTTCGCTAAGTGTTTGTCCCATCTTTCCTTCTCAATTAATATTAAGCTTGTACATGAATGAAACGCGATTTAATACGATATTATCAATATTATGACAGCTAAGTTAATCAAGTTAAACGAATTCAGACGTACTACTTTTAAATTATCAATTCGCAGAATTTTGCTCAAAGTCTTACCTTACGGTCAACGTCGTCGTTTGAGGATCTCAAATTTAAATGCGCTTTACTTCGCTCCGATTTCATAACAGCCTCCCATTCAGAAACGCGCTGAAACGCGCGTGATACACGATTAATTTGTCGTCAGCTCCACCCCGTGTTATTCTCCGTGTTTTCCATTCGGCCATGAGAAACAATGCGCGCAGACAGCTCAAGCAGACATCGATCGCAAGATAAACAGCTGATCCGAATTGATGACGTCAAAGTGCCGATAGTTTTTTTGGGATGAGCCATGACGTCATTGTGTAGATATTTGTTCGGTGAGTTTGGGAATTCGGTTATAGGAACAAACTAGGAATACTGTGCTAGAAATATTTTTTTTCGATGAGTTTTGGAACGCACTTGCGAACGTGACAGGCGCTGAGGTCGCTGAGTTAAGAGAAGAGAGGACAAAAGAATTGATATAAGCTAAAACAAATGTAAGATTTAAAAACAATTACATAAATAGAAATGAAAGCGATTAATTAGCTGCTTAATTATCGATCTTATCTATAATTTATTATGTAATGATTATATTATATCGTACTGTTGAATATATAGATCTTCGAACTTAACCTGATCTTCACCGCGCAAAATGTGTGAAAAATATTTCCCTCAAAAGTTTGCAAGAGCATTTAAATTCATAAATTAATTTTTAAAAAGACACATTTGTTTAAGTATAGATAATAAGATATTTGTTGCTTGTTTGTGTATAATAAACGAACATAATGTTTAATAAAATAATCGTGCAGTTAATAATTTGGAAATTTAATGTGCATATTATTATTTATTATTACACGTAAAATATCTTCGTAAGGTAAAAATGATACGAATTTGAATAAATCTGTTTTATATATAGGCTACGACGCTCCTGCATTTAGTACATTTACGTGATCCAACATTTCTTATGTAACACATATTGTTTTATAAATAAGTTTTTTTAAGAACTCAACAATTTTTATAAGGACAATATATAACAAATCTAGCTTTTGTAATTTCAAAGGATTGGAAACAGTGAAGTCAAAAAGAAACAGATATATATCGACTGGTGTGATCTTATTTTCGAGGAGTATAGAAATCAGTTTTGAAAGCAATGGCAGGAATTAATTGCGCAATTTCAACAAATTTGCGTCAATTATTGAGGCTATATATGAGAGGTATGAATTTGTAGATGAACAAATATCGGCGAGTTTGTCTATTCATTGAAATTAGCAAGATGTACATTTGTAATCTTCCCATTGATGTTCTTTTTAAAAGGATTCACATGCTCGTTTTCATCTAAAAGCACAGACGAGGTCGGCGAGAGTCCGAGATTACGTGAATTCAGGAAAAAATTGCGCGAACGCGCTCCTATAGGTACGTTACGTAGTAGCAACTTTTCCTGAATTTTTATGCAAAGATAAAAAATTTAAAGCAGTAAAGGAATCAAACTTTGAACGTGACAGAGAAATTGGACGAATTGGAGGAGGGCAAGCATCCTTATCAAGAGAAAGAACCTCTGAAACCATTCCCAAACAACACGAATCCGGAAACCGGCGAAGTCGGAGGTCCCCGTGGACCAGAGCCGACTCGTTACGGTGATTGGGAAAGAAAAGGTCGTGTGTCAGACTTCTGAATCATCCTCGTTTGAGAATAGCGCAATTCATTTGTTAATAACACTTGGAAACTATCATCAAAACATTCGTATTTAAATCTTAAAACAATTCTGCTTTGAAATACAATGTTATACAATAAAACTTTTATTTTCATATCAAGTTAATCGATATATATCTCTTATAACGATCGGATCTTTTAATTAAATTTTAAAAAAATTAGGAAATGTGACAAATTTATCTAAAATATTAATTTAAAACAGCACAACTAGTTAACCAAATAAGGATTGAATTAATATTTAATTAAATTTTAAGATCAAAACATTAATTTAAATTTTCAAAAATTAAAGTAAACGGGAAATAAAATTGAAAATGTTTGTCACATTTAGAAAATGTTATAATTGCTTCTTATGAGGCAAGATATTCAATGCGATCTAGCCATATTGGCGACAGTATTTTATTAACAAAATTATAAAACTGTCGCGTCATTGTTTTCATACGATTGTGGACAACCACATGTCAGTTTCTTCGTAAAATATTTGCACGATGATTCGCTTAAATTGTAATATTTTGACAACTCTACAAGCAAGAAATTGTAGGCAATTTGTCACAAGTATGTATCGATGCTTCAGAATATTTTAAGTTTGCAAACTTATAGATTTTTGCGAATAATTTTTTTTTTTGCTTATATATATATATATATATTCATTTCATTGAATATAAAAATTAAATGAGTAATACATTAGGTGCTTTTCTTCTAAAATCGAAGATTTTAAATAAGACTTTAACTGAGGACATCCAAGAGTCGCCACGAATGAAGCAGTTCCATGAGAAACTTAAATTGCAACCGATACCAAGTACGTAATAGCAATTAATAAAAATTAATACAATATGCAAAGATATTGATACGAGATCTTTTTATGATACGCGATAAAAGCTTTCACAACAAATTGATTATGCTCAAAGCTTCAGGAATTCTCATACTGATTTTTTTCTGACACGCAGAAGTAGGACCGCGGGAAAGGTTCGTGGATTTAGTATTAGTGGAAACAGACCCAAGAACTGGAGAACTGATAACAAATAGCGAGAAAGATCCTACTAAATGGGGAGACTGGCAGCACGGTGGCAGAGTCAGTGATTTTTGAAATGAAATATCATATATATTTTTTTAATATAGTTTCTATAAATATATTTAAAGAACTCCAAAGAATTCTTACTTCTTAACTTGCAATGATCAATTTTTGCATTTGTAACTATATACGCGAAAAATAAATTAAATTATTTTGGTCAGTGTTAAGTAAAATAACGTAAATCAAAATTGTTTCTTGATATGAAAAAATATGTAAATTAAATTAATAATAAGTACAGATGTATAATGAAGGAAAGCTCTTGTATTACGGAACAAAAATTGTATAAGTGAGAGGTAATAAATTACATTGTACAAAAAAGTGAGCCTTTTTTGCTGGACTATGATACCCCCGAGTAAGTTTTCAGAAGTTACTACAAATTTATTAGTAACGACATTTCATGTTTGGTATTGTTAATTTCACACGACTTTCTTTCCGAAAGTCTGGCACTATGGCAACCTACACAAAAAGCTTAATTACGTCATAATGTACAGAGATTATCAGTACATTATACATATAAAAATATGCAACACTTTGTCAAATACTGAATACTGTATGTTAGAATAACAAACATTTTATACATCAAAGCGGTTAAATTTCTCGCTACTAATGAGAAAACGAATGTTCAACTAAATCGTTAATAATATCGATATACTATGACTGTGTAAAGGATCGAATGTATAGTTCCATCGACGAATGAATTTAAATCGATCCACATTCATTACTAAAACATATTCTCACGCCAGTAGCAGCGAAAATTTATTTAGCCAAGATATATAATAAATTTTCAAAGAATTAACGGCTAAACCATTCATGTAGAAAAGGAGCTTAGTTAATTCTACAGATATATCGTATCAAGAAACATATGTACACGACACTGTAGTAAAAATTTCATTTTGTATTTGCCAGTACGTACGTTTTCAAAATTCTTCCAATCGTATCGAAAATTCTTAAAAAATAATATGCTACGAGGTTTACACTGTTGCATACAAGACGCAGAATTTCGTCCTTTCTTTTCCTTCTCGGCTATTGGTCAATAGCGAATAGATCATTTGATTAATCTCACTATGTTTCTTCAATATCTTCTGAGAATATGAAAGTAGCACTAATAAGAAGCGCGACATCGGTTGCAGTACACTGCTCCGTACTTTTTTTTTCTATATACATATGCAACTTCATATTTTATGCAAGTTTCTAATACAGGAAGAGAGTTTCAGCTTTCGTGTCCCTTGTTACAAGAATATGTGTTACTTAGCTATACAGAACGTATAAAATTTTGTTCAAAAGTGAAAAATCAAAATCAGCAGACGTATTTACATAATGATCTTCTACATACAGTATGATTTTTTTATGTACACACATCGTATAGTTCTATGCAATATGTGGTATAAAGTACTTAAAACAGAATTTATTTAATACAAATAAAAAAAGCGTAAACATTTTATTCGCAAAAAAACAAATTTGTTGCCAATCATATAAATAATGCCTGAGTGATTAAAATAAATTGCAAACATATATAGTCAACTTGTAGAATTGCCTAAAGATATTTTGAGATGTCATCAAACTTAGAACATAGATAAATAAAGTAAAATTAAGTATTAGAAGAACGAGAAAGAAAATTCTAAATACAAATATCATTCAAACGATCGAATACCATCAGTCTTTCCATCCGGCGTCCGCGGGTCTGTGTGTTGTAGGTTATGTGTACGTTTAGCACGTTCAAAAATTATTAATTTTAACAATTTATAAACTATAAAGTTTTATTGATGGCTAACACATCCCGCATCATCATGTTTCTGAGTGTCCACAAAGCGTTTACCACATTCCCATGGTTTCCAACGCCATTGCCCAGCCATTCAGCGGGCAGCTTCGTCACATCGGGGATTTGCGTATTATCCGGATTGGCGTTCATCTGCTTATCCCAATTTGATATGTAACGATTCTCTACGTTTAGACCTTCGATGTACCTACAAGCGAAAGAAGAATACAATTCAATATGAGATGTTCAAAGATGATTTTCCACAAAATTTAGCTTAAGCCTACCTCAAATAGGCGTCCGAATGCAATACACGACTTGGCCTCGGTGGTACCGCGACAAACATCGGCTCTGGCTGTTTAGTGGCGGGCAAGGTGCTCGTCTGAGTTGCAGCTGCTGAAGTTTCTATGTGAAATGTGTTTTTCCCTTATTCATATCGCGCGTTTACGTAAATTTGAAATAATATACAATTACCTGTTTCCATCGGAGGCAATACCGTGGGTCCTTTTGAAGGCATATAATTTCTACAAGAATATAAACGCATATATATATAATATATATAGGGTTTATAAATACGTATTTTACAAAATAATATACGAAAAAAAGAGGATAAATTCTTACCTGCTCCTCTCAGAAGGTGGTATTATGCGTCCATGCGACTTGAGAATATGCACTTCTTTAACGTGTCTTGCGAGTCTCTGTACACTCGGGAATGGCGGAACAGATTTCTTCGTTCGGCCGCAACCACGCCACTGGCACTGATACTCCACATCTATAACATTGATAGAATATCAGTACAATTTAGTCCTTTGCATCATTCATGTCGTGCTGCGCGGCTGCTGCGATTATACTCACCACTTGGAGCGTTTACAAATGACGATTGTACGTGACCGTTCTGCTCCGCGATGCAGTGATCGATGCAATCAGTCATGTCCTCGAACTGCCAGTCGCAATTGTCCCAACAACATTCGTACACAACATCCTGCGTGGAGTTCGTGCCTACTGTAGTCGTACCCTTCAGCTGACCACCGTCTTCGTTCATTTTGATTGCCCGTTCCTCCCATGCTTGCTTCTCCCCCGCTGGCAATTTCCTCCACTGGAACGAAAGTGGTTTTACGTTTTATGTAATCAGTTTCGTTTCGTTGCTCATAATTAGTTAGTAGACAATTGGCAAAACCATTTTTACCATTTTAAAAGTCGTTCGACGAACTGTTTCAATGGCTACTCTCTTCTTCATAAAAGACTGGATACAAATAACGTTTATACATCAAGAATAATAACGGTAACATATCAAGGCGGAGACGATACAAATTACAATACGATATGTATATGCAAAAGTAGAAACTGATATACTACTCTTATAAAAGAATGCAGAAGATGTATTTTGTATTTATTATTATTATATTTTGTACACACAAGCATTTATATTTATAAGAATAAAGAGTAGCCATGTAACATAATTTATTTGGATAAAGGACCAAGTATGCTGAATAATGTTTTAGCGATGTATATGCAAAGTCACTTATACATAGTCAATTACATTTTTTAATCTTTTTGCTTTATCACATAAATGTCAAAATGATCAAAGTTTACATTGTTCAACTAATTTGATGCTTAAACAAAGACATCATGTGATCATGTATGAGGAAATTTATTCTGCATACATTCCTTCATCGAAACTCCATTATTAATAAACTAAAAAATCAACAGTGAAAAAGAAATAAATACCTCATTGCCAACAATTCTGCTAATCTCTCCGAAGGATGATTCAGGATTGTTTTGTGTAATCTGCGTTCGCATTTTACTCGAATATAAAATATAGCCCGTAACTAATTTCTTACCCGCCGTTTTCTAAACAGAAGAGAAAATACAAATTATAATGTCACCGTGTTCATGTAAACGAGCATATTGCCTTTACATCTCTTAAGAGGTAACATCAAATTGTCGATCTATTGTTAAGACAAATGGTGTCTTCAAACGGTGCAGAGAACGAAAAGAGGTATGTATGCTGGCATATTTCTCTAAATAAAAAGAAAGTAAAATAAACAAAATATGACGTGTGACAATAGTTGATAAGAATGAAAAAATAAAAAAATAAAAATAAAGTGGTCACGGTAAAGCCTACCTTCTTAGTCGACACAGGTGTCTGAGTATTGGAGAGCACCGGTTGAGCTTCCGTAGATCCAACGGATGGTGGACCACCAGCATCCATGCTGTCTTCCCCAACTCCTACTCCCACTCCCACTCCTAATCCTACCCCCATGCTTAGTACATCTGGTTCCAGCTTCGGTAACAATGGTGACGCTTCCTACACCATTTATTTATGTTTATGTTACCTTCGTTGTCCCTTATTACCGATCACGATATATTTTCGCGACTTTATCCAGTAGAAAAAGTTGTACATAATAAAAGGAACGCCATCCCTTCTTCACGCGTCCGTCCAAAGAAAATTAATCACGATATTCTCCCATTTACGTTATATTCCGTATACTTTAACCTCTCTTTCGAATATAATATAACTGATGTAACATCCGATCTTTTTTTAATTCGATACCATCAACATATGTATATTGTAATATGTAACGTATATATAATCGCAACATGTCAATTATTAATTAATTGAAACTTTTTGCATTAACAGATTAGTTAATATGTATACTCCAAAGCGAATTCTTCATTCTTACATTAGTTGGATTAGAATGACATGGAAGCAAGATCTTTCGGTGGTGTGCTTTGCGTTCGTATAACATACTAGCGATAAACCCAACAGGTGCTCTGATTTGAAATTGTCGGATGAAACCGCTCGAGACACAAATACTAACACATAATTACATAATCAAAACAAAAAAAGAATGAATATGCCGGCATATAGATCGAAAACATGCGTGTAAATGCATTCTGTTGATATAACAAAAATACTTGTATCACACGCAAAATAATTCAATTAGATTTAAAGAAAAGCATGTTTCGCCTTTCGTCTTTTTACGAGTGGACATACTGGCGATTAGACTTTTGCTATATCAGCTTGCGTGTGATTCTCTTGAAGGAACGTGCGATTGCATATTGTATGTACGTTACTAAAAACAAAAGATATAAGATTTCGTAATTAGTAATTACCATTTCAAATTGAGCCGAGCTGGGCGTAATGGACTTGACTTGACTTTGCGTCTGAGCCACGTCGCTCGAAACCTACAACAAACATGCCATGCAAAGCAATAATTTCACAGTTAGTCGCATAGAATGAACTAAGTACATATCTTATTATTCACCGAATAGTTTAAATATGCATTTATGTTAGTCAATATGTTTAACTGTCATACATACTTTAGCAGGATTAATAGGCCTTCGGAAGAAATAGATTTCGTCTTCAGTTACCGCCGATGTATGATTGAACTTCTTTAAAC